CTCGACACTGAAGTATGTATATTACCTATTATTGTGATTCAAGAAGACTCTTCGATTTTAGCCACTGCTCTTATGGATTCACTGACTGGACCCCTGCACTGAACATTTCCGGGTCATTCAGCAATTATGTCACACGGCTTTATAATATTCCGGTGGATAGTGTCATATATATAGACTATACATGCGAAGGGAAACGAATGTGCATCAATGATTATTCTTTGTTATATGTAGAATCTCAGCCAGATTACGGAGACGCAATTATGTGTATATGTATATGTGTGTCCTGAAAACTACTGGTGCCAAGTGCTGATTTTCGTGATAAAGAGTGAGGGTTTGTGGTGCCCTCTTTGGGTAAGGAAACATAAATGACCAACTAATCAAGTGACCAAGTGCCCAAGTGCCATAATATATCTGAAATAAGGAATTAAAAATATAATACTCCTGCCAAGTTTACTATAAAGAACTGATGAATATAAAGAAGGGAACCTGATCTATAGCACATGAAATACTATGAGACATTTAGATATACCATTTGGAGGAACGAAATATTAAGTTAATCTACACACTGAATAACACTGAAACTTAACACTTCCAAATACTAAAGTAACCACGAAAGATCATTTTCTATGAATGCAAACACGGACGTTTCCATATGGCTCTTCCATGGGTGGTGGCAGCTCATGTTACTCTACATATGTGAGTGGAACATTGCCAGGACTTGTCATGGGTGAGACATGATTTTCATTCTGTCTCCGAGGACCGGTTAAATGAAAGTTACGGATAAAGGTATTTCTAAGTTTGTAATAAGGGATTCTAAATACCCAATGTAAACTGACCTATCTTTGTAAACATCGCAGATATTTCCATGAGAATATTGTTCATATATATGAACAATACAAAAAATGAATGGGTGATAGTTAACTATGAGGATAAAATAAATCGTTGAAACATTTTAGCAGTTTAAGAAAAATATACAACATCGAACCCACTAGAGAAACAGTATTGCCTGTAAAATGCTTAAGGACGCAGTCTGGTTGCTCATCATGAAAATACATCTTCACATTACGAATCACATTATGCAATATATACAAATTCATACATCAAACCTTTCGCTTACTTACAAATGATTTGAACAATTATTACATTTCCCTTGATCACAAAAGGAATAAATTACAGGAAAGGAGAAATAACATAAGAATATTAGGAGTGAAAGAATATTAGGGGTTTAATGAGATAAAATTAATGTGTGAGGGCTCCATTAAACTTTTGTGAGGGGGGGGGGATATCGTTTCCTTTGAGGTATCCACGTGTTGGTCAGTGAAACAGCTTTATATCAAATTCCACGCTGCTAATTAGAACGTTTTTTTATCGATACGAATCCTATAATGAAAAACTATTATAATGAACTAAAAATTGCGATATATCTCACTGATATTACGATAATACTACACATTTATTATGCTTAAATGTAGCATGGCACTTATATGCTTGTTTCCCTTGAAGGAGCACGTCGCCATTAAATAATAATAATAATAATAATAATATAATATTACAGTAGAAATGACAGAAGCTTCTGTCTGTCAATGAAGCACGAGCAGGCTTCAATTTTCCTTATCTTTTATGATGCACCTTTATCCTCAGCATATGAAATATTTAATTATAATCGTCAGTGATTCATGAGCACAACTTAAGCCTTCTGCAGGTGAATGGAAAATTGTAAAATGCAGAAACGACTCAAAGTTTGACAGTAAATTAAATAGGGACTCCCAGGTTTCCTTGTGATAAGTGATCTGAGATATCTTCATCTGTCTTAAACTCTTCAAATTTGTCTTTGACCACCAACATGTCCTCTACATATGTTGAAGGTAATTCCACATCAGAAATGATAAGGAAAACTTCGAGATCCTTTTTCACTAATTGTCGAATGTGAACTGAACCGTCTCCTTTATGTTTTTTCCGTCAATGTTCTATGAATAAAAAGCAAATAGCACTACACACTTACACTGAAAAAGTGTATGATCATTTAGGTGTGTCGTACTAATTACTCTAATTAGCAGCGTCAAGTTTGAAATGTAGCATATTTGCAATTCGTAAATTAAAATCAAAGAACAGGCCTTTAATGAATACCGACCCTGGTCTCCTCTTCCCAATTTACTCCAAATTCCCTCTTCCACTTATGTGAATGTCCACGTTAACAAGTCGTAAGTGAAATTGCTCGAGACCCATATCCTTTGCCTATCCTTCAGTTGGTTTTGAGTACTATATGTACTTTGTGATATTAGTTTACAAATGCTTGAGTTGTTTGTTACTTCCCAGGTTTTCACAGTCCCCCTTGACCCCGTGAGTTTAGCTCCACAGTCTTTAGTGAGTTGAGCGTTTGCATGGCGAAGTTCCTCGACCTCTCTCTGCATCCTCTCCTCGCCGAAGGCCTTGACTTTCTCCTCGAAAATTTCCCTGAAGAACTTGTACAGAATGACATCCTGCCTGTTCAGCTGCCGAAGCCTGTCCTTCTGCGCCTCCGAGAGCTTGGCCCTATAAGTGGGCTTCCGAATCTTGGCCTTGAGGTAAACGACGTCCTCGGTGTTCCAGCACATGAGGTGCTTCAGGAGGACCAGCGACTCGTCGAACCTCTCGGCAACCATCACCAAGTCGAAGGTCTCATTGAGCCATCTCGCCTTGCCAAGTACTTCACCTTCTGGTACGTCATCGCGAGGGTCCTTGACTCCAAAATAATTGGCAATCAAATTGAATTTCTGTTTATGCCTTGGTGTATGGTTAGACGCTATAAGGAAGGTCGTAAGATCCAAATGAAATCTCTGGAAAAGAGAACTTGTCCATTTAGTTTATTAATCCAGGTATAACCGTTTATGTATGTATGACAGTAAGAACACCTGCCTAATGTATCTAATGATCATTTCCTTACTGACCTTTTCATAATTTCCATAATACCACATGGACTCAAAACGAGACGCTGGTTTTCGTACAGTTGCAACATATTTGGCCGATACTTTCAGCACCTGTAAAAATCAATCCATTGGCTTTGAGTAAACATATACTGTTCAATCGATGAAGATCATAAATTGATTATAAGTACAAACTGATTGTCCTCAAACTTCTGTTTTAGACTTGACTTGAAAAGACTCAAACATCTCTCCATAATGGAGAAAAGGGTGCAGGAAACACAGATTATTTAACAAAATGTTTTACCAAGTTAAAGTGTGCATCACTTGGCAGAGGATGAACATTATTAGCTTGCAAATGGGGATATGCATCATCTGAGTCAGTAAGAGAACACAGACTCACCTGCTCTGCTCCTTCCTTACTAAACTGAATGTGGGATACGACCATGTTGTGGCGACCGTCGGGGGACGCATTATACTCTGGCGGCAGAATCCTGGGAGATATAGGTACCAATGTGTAGTGGACAGGCAGGGCGAATGTCAGGCCGTGTTTGACTCCATATCTGTTTGGAATATATCCAAGCAGTTAGCCAAGCAACAGGATTTTCTAATATGGCATATTATTTTGTCTATAGGACTCACTCTCCTCCTCCGCTCATTCATATCAATCCCTTTTAATATTTTCTCTCATTCACATTTTCTCTTACCCACTCCGATCTTTCTTGTATTCTCTATACCTGTGTTCTGTGTACCTTTATATACCCTTTATTTACTCACGCGATGAAAATCTGTGAAATGGTAGAAGAGGCGCACTTTGGGGTCTTGAGGAAGTACACTGAATTTTGAGGAACGCAAGACTCCAACGGGCCTTCTAGTATTCTTGCAGGTTCGTACGACATCGACTGCATCATTCTTGAATTATTGGCACTGAACAAAGACGTGTTCCATTAGCTTTCATGTTGACCAATACACATTAAAAAAAATCATTGATGAGTAATCCACGGTGAATTAATATGCCAGGGCTAAGTAGCTTTTGGAAATATTGAAGCTTCTAATCAATATCTGCAGACATACCGCTTAGGACAGCATACAGGTATAATCTAATGCAAGGTTTGGGAAACTTTGGCCAACGGGCCAGGTAAACCCTAGGCCATTTTATTCAGTTTGTTCGCTAAGGTTGAGATTTATCAGTGTTAAAACACTTATCCGTGTACGAATTTGATGGTATGTATTCTTATGACAAGGAGTAATTAAATTAATGGAGAAAATATTTTACCAGTTATAATAACAGTATTGCCAACTCATGGCCCAATGAAATACGAATACATACTGATCCTCAATATATTAGGTAATCATGCAAATCAGCTCCACAAATTGTATTAGTCGAGAAATGAAAACGTGGAGATATGTTATCTTTCTAAAGATTGGTTAATACAATGTGTTTTTCCGAATGTCTCGACCCTCCTAATGTATATGGCACACAGTCTTGCTAACTTGATTAATCCCTTTCTCTTACTCCATTTAAAACAAACACAAAACTTCCCCTTTGCTCCTCTTTCTGTTGAATGGTAGCTGCAGAATCAACAAGGGCAACATTATGAACATGTAAATAGTGTGACTATCATAGAACGTTTTGCCACGACTGTTTGGACATCAAGCTGCCTCACAGAAACTTGACTTGAAGACCGACTCACAGCCACAGGATGTCACAGCAGATCCCTAGGTGTCTAGGTAGTCTTTTAAATAACTAAGGCAGTCCTCCATCAAGTAGGAGGCATTTTCGATCTTTTCCTCAATCTTCTTGGGGTGTTTTGATTGGTTACAAAGGGAAGTCGTGAGTGGAACCTGAGCAGTCGTGTTGGAGCTGTACATTAATGACTACATTATACATACAGAGCATGACAACCAGCAGTAGATCATCTAGAAAAATGGGAAACTTTCATAATTTTGAAAAAGATTAACATGACTTTCATACCTTTTATCTATTTATTTATTTTTAAAGATGCCTACTAATGCCATCCCTTGAAACTCTCTAATTTATCCAATCCAATCAAACCTTTTATTTTGTTGAGTTTGCAAAAGTCAATAAGGTCGCTCATTTTTGATATCACTAAATCTCGTGTAAGCCAATTTTGACCCTTAAATCGTCCTCGTTGTTAATGAACCGCGGCCCATTAGCGCCGTCCAGCGACCCCACAGTGAGTCACCTTGAAATGCCTTCCCGTGTTCGCCACACCTGAGCTATTTAGTGTTGGGGCTGACAGGTCGAGATAAAGGGGTTGGGAGGGTAACATACCTTAACCTTAACCTTAACATATCCGTCGATGCAGCAAAATATTATGCATGCTTGCTCTAAAGAGTAAGCAGCATATTTTGACTTTTTTTTCTTAATTGTTCCCTGTGCATTCTTTTCTATATCGTTGACAGCTCAAGTAGACCTCTATTTATTCATTAAATTATAAGACAGATAGAAAAAAAAAGGCTTTGGAAAGGGTAAATGACAGCTGGGTCAAATGATAGGTCAACATAATGTAAGTGTTCTCCACACCTGGTAATGCTTGTTATGTGAAGTTGCCAAGGAGTGGCAATTGGCAATTTACCAACACTTCATTTTTATTATGAATATCAGCACAGGAACCTGACTAATATAATTCAGTACTGTATATTATCGGCTCCAGAATGGTTACTGGGCACAATATTTCTCGTGTGTACACTGTTATTGATCGTATGCCCCTATCACATGGCACTTTTTCCGTCAATTTCTGGGGTTCCGTCTGATTTTGAGAATTTCCGCAAGGATCGTCTACAAACGGAACGCCTCCCAGACCAAGACAGTTACGACCGTTTCCGTCTGACTAATTTCCGTGTTGATCTTGTCCTATTAATGAATTAGATAGGATAGTGAATGTAAACATAAGCTTATATTTTAGAAGGTTCGTATATACAGTATATACCATCACATTTCTTTAAAATAACGTAATATGTATGAGAATGCTCGTGTGATTCCCGGGACCTCACTCCGATAGCGCTATGTTTGTTTACATGATTTTCATACGGAGTTCATTCGGAAACTCAAAAAAAAAAAAAAAAAAAAAAAAAAAAAATGACGGAAAAAGTGCTAGTGTGATAGGGTCTTTACGATCTCCTGCCCACCTTCCCAATCACAGTGACAAATCCTCCTTTTCCTAACCAATCATATCAGTTCCAATCAGCATCCCCTTCCAGGTCATCTGTCAACCATCTGTCATTCTCACTGCCAACTGTACTTGAGAACTGACACTGCCAATCGCTCGTTCTTTACTGCTAGTCTCCCTTTCTTCGTATTGATATTACATCTAGAAAAAATCGTATTTTTTTCTTAATAATGATGATAATAATAATGATGGCTGTTATGATATAAATAGTAATAATAGTAATAGTAATAATACGGAAAAAATTGTTATAATAATAATAATTATTATTACTATTATAATGGCAAAATGATAATAATAATGATAATATCAACAACGATAACAGTACTACTAATAATGATAAGAACGGAATACTTATGACTGATATGATAACACAAATTATGCTAATATAAATCATCCCAATTGATAGTGAATCGCATTAAGATACAGCCGTGGAATTAATTGTGTTTCTAATTTTCCACAAGTTTCAGCTGTCTATTAAGGAGGAGAAATGGGACTCCATCATCCACCAGCTTTCGGAGACACAAGGGCGATTACCCTGAGAAATTATAACATATCATTGCCACTTTGAAGATTAAAGAGAGGAAGTTATATACTTACAGAAAGAACCACTTCTGCACTCTGTTCATCTCTACTCCGAGGGATGAACATTGCTTTAAGAACCTACGTAGATGACATTGAGGTTCTATACTGAATTTTTAGATTCGGAGCTTAAGATAATCTACTCGATTAAAAATCACACCAGATCATACGAGGTGTACTTTACTTGACATTCCTCAGCGCCAATACAATCAGCAAACTGTTTTTTTGTTGTTGTTTTTTAACGTTACCGTCGTCTCATTAAACTTCAACCCTTTAGCTCCTACAATGAAAAGCAAAATTGTCCCGATTCTTCATTAGGAGAGAATACTGGGCCTTAGAATACAAGTCCTTAAATCTTCGTAAGTTATACTAACTTAACCCGTAATAGCAATACGATCAACATTGGTCTCTGACAACTATGGAGCAGATGTGGCAGAACCAATATGATTATCCACCTTTCGTGCTCATATTCTTTCCTATTATACATAATTATCTCCGATTTGAAACTGTTTTACTGATGAAGAAATCATATTCATGAATTCTCAATGTACTTGATCCCCATGATGGCATGCAGTTGATATGAAATTATATGTATATCAGTTTTACCTTCATGTTTTATCCAAGGGCTGAAGAGGGGTGCGTTTGGTCCCTAAAGCATCTGCTCTGCTCTAATTCTCCTCTTCTTCCGCTACCCCTTCCCTCCCTCTCCCATCCCTTCCCTCTCTCTCCCATCTCCTGATCTCCCTCTCCCATCCCCTCCCTCTCTCTCTCCTCCCTCTCTCTCCCATCTCCTTCCCTCCCTCTCCCATCCCTTCCCTCTCTCTCCATCTCCTGATCTCCCTCTCCCATCCCTTCCCTTCCTCTCCCATCCCTCCCTCCCTCTCCCATCCCCTTCCCTCTCTCTCCCATCTCCTGATCTCCCTCTCCCATCCCCTTCCCTTCCTCCCCATTCCCTGCCCTCCCTCTCCCATCCCCTTCCCTTCCCCATCTCCTCCCTCTCCATCCCCCTTCCTCTCCCATTCCCTGCCCTCCCTCTCCCATTCCCTTCCCTCTCTCTCTCCCATCTCCTTTTTTTATTCTCTGAGCCCCCTCTCCCTTTTCCCATACCCTCTTGAAGTCCCTTCCTTTTCTCTTTCCCCATCATCCCTATCTCTTCAATCCCCCTTTCCCTCCCTTTCTCCCCCCCCCCCTTTCCCCTTCTCCTGCTCTCCTTAACCTCCCCCTCGGATGGTCGTGTAAATAATATAGTACATAAACTGATAGTCTAACTACTTCAATGTAGTGTACTTGCTTCGTAGAAGAATGATAATAATAATAGTAGTAGTAGCTATAATAATAACGATGATGATAATAATAATAAAGATGATGGCAACAATAGTAATGGCATTTAGAACAACTATAACAATAATGATAAGATTGATAAGGAGTCTCATAGATTCGTAATGTGTGTGTGTGTGTGTGTGTGTGCGTGTGTGTGTATCTTCGCGCGCACGTGTGATATATTGATGTCAATGTTGTCAATCAAACCCAAAATAGTTTGACTTCTAGCCGCACGTGGAATATGATTCCAGGCACAAGGAACTTCAAGTCTGCCTTCAAATACGTTTTCGGGCGTAAACTCTAAACCTTACGTGAAAACGGACGATTGAACGGACGGACGAAACACAAGCAGAATTATAATACAGATAAGCGTGAAAAAAATCATCCAAGGTCTTTTTATGAACATATACTTAGTTCTTATCTTAAGCGGAGAATACATAATTCTCATATATAAACAAAAATACAAAAATTGTAGCATGTATATTGTTGCGAGACCAAGAAACACAAGTGTACAAACAAGTATAATTACACATAACTACACAGAATTACAGGCGTATGAATACGGTGACAAGAGAGTGAAAATATCAGTGTGAGGAATGTGTTTGGCTGTATGAATGAGTACTGTTCATGCGAGAGCCACCTCAGTATCATTTCAGGATGTTACGTCAATTGGGCACCAGCTTTGGGCACCGGCGAACCCTGAAGATCAATACATAAAAGAAATAATATCACATACTTTTTCTGTGCCATGTATACGGTTATGTAATTATATCATGCAGGTAAATAGAAAACACAGTATTTAATTTACTCCATAGACCGGGACAAGACCTATGTAGTAAAACTCGGAGTGCCACTGGTCTTGTACTTAGGCGATGTGCAATTCACCAACGATAAAAGTACAACATACACTTCTTCAAGAACCCTGTGAGAGACAGCGAGATCTCGTGCAATGCAGTGGAGATGACACGCAACAGGAATGCAATTTAGCCCCGTCAAGGGAATTTTCTTCGGACGAAATCAACACCAAGATGGATGACTGTGTTTGGCTTTTACTTCGAAGTCTTAAGATGATGAACAAAATCGAAGACTGATGAACAAATGTGTGTTTTTGTCTTGCCTCATCTTATCTGCTGTTTCGTGTAGGTGATGTTTTTTTTTTTTTTTTTTTTTTGCAATATGAATGTTTCTGATATCGATGTATAGAGTACTTTCTTGTGTAATATGGGCATAATATTAATACATTCACACACACACATACACACATATCTGTTACGGGAGGATGAGTGCAATACATTCTACTGCACTATACAGTCAACTACCTGATATTTAGGTCAGTGTGAAGCTACAGATTTACAGATCCTTTACCATCTAGTAGATCTATGTTTACCCGTCTCTCTCTCTCTCTGTCTGGTCTGTTCTCTCTCTCTCTCTCTCTCTCTGCTCTCTCTCTCTCTCTCTCTCTCTCTCTCTCTCTCTCTCTCTCTCTCTCTCTCTCTCTCTCTCTCTCTCTCTCTTCTCTCTCCTCTCTCTCTCTCTCCTCTCTCTCTCTCTCTCTCTCTCTCCTCTCTCTCTCTCCTCTCTCTCTCTCTCTCTCTCTCTCTCTCTCTCTCTCTCTCTCTCTCTCCCTCTCACCTCCCTCCCCCTCTCCCTCCCCTCTCCCTCTCCCCTCTCCCTCTCCCTCTCCCTCTCCCTCCCTCTCCTCCCTCTCCATTCCCTCCCTTTCTCTCTCTCTCGCCCCTTAGATAAAACCATAAAGAGAGCCATAAATGATAGAAACAAAAGAAAGCTCTCAAGATAAACAGATCTGACACCAACCTTCAGGCTGCGTGTAAACATATGAAGAGAAATGTGAAAACACTCACCCAATGTGCGGAAACATTTTTTTTTTTTTTTCAAAAGAATGTTCAATGAATGTAGAATCGATTCCACCGAAACATGGAAATTAGTTAACACACTAATTAGAAACATAACCACTAGTAAGAAACATAACAGACATTTACCTAAATT